AGGACCATCACTCTCTGATGTCATGAGCTTCTGAAGCCCTGAATAGAATTCAGAACTTTTGCTCATGAGTACTCAAAGCAGTTTTTCAAATGTGTTGAAAACCTCTGTAGTTTTGTGAAAACTCCCACTTGGCTTTGTTGGCAGGAGAATGACAAAGTGGACCCAGCAGTTAAGAGGGATAGGACTCGAACTCTCTGTGACATTTCAACTACTGTTCAAACAACTGCTCTCTTCAGAGTACCCGATTTTCTGCACCATTGCTGGATAGTGAGCCTGTGCTTGTCTGTGCAATTGTCTAATAAGCATATGGTCCGTGGGGAAACACACAACTATACCTGAAGAAACATGGGACACACACAGTCTAGGGAGGTGATAAATGTCCATTTTGTTGAAAATAAAGTAAGCCCTCAAAACAAATAAATAAACTTCAAAATTCTTGCTATGCATCTGCTTCTGGGAATGGCTAGCCCTAGGTGTGCATACAGGTCATGTTCTTCAAGACAAACATTTGAGGGTATGTATGAGAGACAATCTTAATTAAATTTAGGCACAAGGCCTATGATCCTAGCTAAATTACAAGACTGCTATGGAAAAAACAAACAGACATGATTTTAGGAACAACAGTAAGTCTATGGATAAAACACATCCCCACCCATCAACTCAAGACATGATTTGGAAGTTTTTCTGTTAATATGCTTTGTTTCTGTTTTTCAACTCAGAAGGTGAGCTTCCACTGCACCCTGTCAAAATCTTTCTCAACAGACAAGGAGAAGGTAACAGCACAGCTTCCCTTGGGCCGGGTTTGTAAATCCTACTGGTCAACCACCCCATGGTGTAAGACGCTGTGGTTTTCAGACACATCTACACAGACTAGTTGAATAAAGACCAACTCCAGACTTGATGTTGCTGAGCTCCTCAGCTCCATCTTGCCATCCTGCTCGATCAAGGAGATGGTCTATAGTCTAAGTGACACAGCACTTTGAGGGGTTAGTCATTAGAGCACTCTGCTTTGTCCTGGGAAGGCAACTTCTTGCTTGGCTAGTTATGGAAGCTAAGGAGTGACTTCAAGATGCTGTCTGGCCAGGATTTGCAGATAACCATAGAACTCTTCTCCTCCATCAGGCTTGGATTTAGCCTCCTTTGGTTCCTGCAGTGATGCAGGAGCCTCCAAATACCAAATTATTATCAGGCGGTCTTGGGGGAACCTCTGGGCCCTGCAATAAAGTAGACAGACTTTCTATTGGAAAGTGCTCAGGAGCAATTCAGCCCTGTACACATTGCTCTAAAAATCTTGCAAACCATCTCTGGATTTGGTGAATGAATATTACCACACAGCTCCTGATAGTGCAAAAGTATGTCAAAGGGCATGATTGCTCATTACTCCTCATTGGAGCAATCATATGCATCATTTAAAGAACCCTAATCTAATCATGGTATTTGTTTGTTGTTTAAAGCAAAGGTACGTTTGTACTAAAGCTGTATCATTTTAGTCAAGCTACTTCTAAGTACTGTCTACTAAATGAGGTATTTACAGCAGGGGATCCTTACAGTCTAATTCAGAGGGGCACTAGCAGTCCATGAGCTTGAACTGAATTGCACTAATACATTCTTACTTGCCCCATTTAGCATTTGAAATCTTGAGCCATTCAAATAAAAGAATAAATGTCTACTATTCTCTACAAAGTCCATGCCCCAGTATGGTCTTTATTATGTCATGCCATTTTTCCACAATAGCCCATCTCTCCTACTCCTACTGATTTGCCAGATTCCTGAAAATTGGATGCAAAACCTTTCTGTAACCCAACCTACCTCAGTGCTCATCACACTGTATTGAATCATGTGCTGATCCAGTTGGGCCTGTCTGATGAGTCTCACCACAATCAGAGGTCAAGCCATCACTACCACAAAGCCTCTGGTTCCTACCATTGTAGAAGTACTAATCAATGAATACTTAACATATTGAAATGTACTTTCTAAAATGTACTCTTACAATTCATTGAGAAGAAACAGATGTCACTCTTGGTGACATAATATGTGTAGTCTTAAGTCAACATCCTTGAATATAAAATAAAGTTTCAGGAAAGACCAGTAGACATAGTAGTGTTCAGTCTAAGCCTGTGATGGATTCCGAGAGATGGTGGTGATGCACAGTTAAGTGACATTTGTTTTAAGGGCATGAGGGAAAGGCTAAGCTATCTTCATAATCCTTGCAATGATTTTTTGTCATCACCTTGCATCTTTTGGGAAGAACCCCTCTTGAGAGGTTATTAGAAGTTGGTTTGTTTAGGACATTCAATAAAAACCACCTATCTGAAACTAATCTCCCAGAATTTCATGGACTTAAAGCCAGATACACTTCTGCACGTCCAATCTCTGTGCTTAAGCTTTGAAATAGTTTAATTAGGGTGATTGTAATTTGTTTAGTCAAAGAAAAAATTTCATAAAGCTTATTTTTCTAAAATTGTATAAATCTAGTTAAATTGCCTAGCACTTAGTTAAAAGTATATCCAAATAAAAACAACATGCATACAAGTTTGGTAGAAATTAAACCAATGAAAAAGGACTGTGATGAATTTGTTACAAATCCATTGGTAACTAATACTTCAGCAATATATAGTCACATCTGGTCAACATCTGGTTGATGTCAAAAACCCACTATGTCCTGTCCTAGGTTATGGTTATTGGCTGAAGTTGCTGCTTTCCCAAGGCTAGGACTGCAGACACACACCAATATGGGCATACTCACACAGAGCACAGGATAGCACAGACTCAGAAGATTAATGAACATACTGGAATGAAGTGTGACATTGACATGGGTAGGGGTGGGATGAGAAGGGTAAAATCTTCATTTCCATTTCTTTGGCAAAGTATCCACAGAAGATATGTGATTTTGTTTTAAAAAAATGTTTTTAAAAGATAATGTCTGGAAAAAAATTAGTTTCAGATTATGTAAGATAAGACATGTCTGAGGACACCAGGCCCAGAAGGGGTTTTAGGTGGAGAGCTCAGTGAGACATTGTAAGGAAGGACTAGCCAAAGAGATTTGGTGGTCTGGAGCCCAGGCCAGAGGCCAGAAGCTGAGGGGAAGTGAAGGGCTCCATCGCTCTCTTACAGTCCAAGTATGGGTGACACAACATGGCTGAGCCCCAAAACCAAAAGGCCTCCAGAAATAATCAAATTGTTTTCTGAAATCTCCATAGATTTTAAATGCAAACATCCTCTTCCACACAATCACTGTCCCTGTAAATAAAGGAATTTTTCTTTTAAGAAATATTTTTTGAGAGCTGATCACTTGGTATTGGATAATCAATTGGCATGCTCTTCTCTGGGGAAGACTGTTTCTCCCACTGTCAGTATTCCACAGTTGCCTGTAGTGCTTTGTGTAGGGCTGAAGTTGTGTGGCATCCCTCCATCCACATTAACGTATCTATTATTGCCCTTGTTCATTCATTCTTATTGGACATATTGGACCAATGGTCTCTGCTTGATGATTCAGTCTTACTTCTCCGCCATTGAAAAGGAAAGCAAACTTTATGTTAATTTTAGTGAATCTCAGCTCTCCAGCCTGGGGCGGATAGAATTACACCACACAGTCTAGCCCTGATGGAGACAGTGGTGTCCAGATCAGATCAGATATTCCTAGGCAGAACGATGGGAAAGACCCCAGATTCTCTTACCGCAGCATCTTGCTTTTTCTTCATATTTGACTGCCATGCAGATAGACATCTCAAGGATCCTGGTGATGTCAACCTCCACAAAGCATACCTAATTCTAAGCAACATCTCCTCTTATCTCAGCCATACCATAGTTATTAGAATCAATAACACCATGACTTTGAACAACACTTAATGTTCAAGGACATCACTAATCTTTAAGCATCTTTTCGTACTTGTCAGATAACAAATTCAGCTACATCTTGGGGAGGCCCTGTCTCACACATCATAAACTTATGGTAATGTTAACCCTAACATTTAGCTCCAACTCTAACCTTAAACATTCCTTGGAATAAATGTAAATGAATAGAAAGAAATGACAATTCTTTTTTTATATATAGAACAATCTCATTGCTCAGCCCTCCCCCAATGAGTTTTCAGCAAAGTATCAGTCTCCAAACCTAACTTTACAATTGTCTTCCTTAACCTCTGTAACAGTGCAGTAGAGCAGCACTTTAGGCGGGATATAGAGATATAGCTAGACAAAGGACAGCCGCCTCAACAATGCCAGGGAGCCCCTGGAATCAGGGATGCCTGATGTCCTAGCCCTCAAGGCCTCTTATTCATACATGAGAGTAGGCCTAAATTCAAATGGAGAAAGCTTGTGTGTTCATTATATTGCTGCTCTTAAGGTCTTTCCACACTTTGTATCTATCTGGTCAGTGGCTCAGAAGATAGGAAAAGAGGCCCAAGCTTGCCAGTAGAGGCTGATGAGCTAGCGTAATCATTAAAAGTAAAAGTCTTCCTCCTTCTCATACACTTTTTGGTGTAACAGTTGTGACTTCACAAGGCTTTATGCTAGAAATCAGGATGAGAAAAGAATACAGAACTATCCCAAAATCAATACCACCTGTATGAAACGCAGAGCCTTGCTGACTGCCTAGAATGCATGCTTTAATTGCTTTCAATAAGCCAGATTTAAGTTACATCAATTGCCTGTCAACTATAAATTATGTGTATGCATTCTAATGACACTTCTGCTTTTTGTCTCCATCCTTCTCCAGATAAGCATGCTTGATTATAACTTCATGTTGACAAATGATTGTGGAAAATGGATTCCAAGAGAAGTCCGTATCTGCCCACAGTTCCCAGCCTAGCAGGAGGCAAACCCTGAGAATTCCCTAAGTAACCAATGAAAGAATCTAGCCTGTAGGCCAAAGAGTGCAAGAATCCTCAAATATTCCACTGCCCTCAGCCCCAGCCAGCCTTGTCAGAGGCCCTGATAAACAGAATCATCTAAGCAACTACGCAGCAAATGGGTCAATAAGTATAAACAGCTGTACTTACATGTGTCTGGCTTGAGCTGGCTGTTGGTGATGCCAAAGTACTGGGGGTTTTCAATAACAGGAATCTTGGTCATTCCAATAATGACAGCATCAGGACCGCCCTCTGAAGAGGATGGAGTATTACTCCCATTGGAGATGTGGTGGAGGGGGCTGGCCGAGTCATCGTCATTGCTGATGACAGAAGCCGGGCCTGGAGTGGGAAGAAGCATAGGCATTCTGTAGTTTAACTGCTTCAGTTGAACTTTAATTCACACACACTCCAAATGCATGACTGCAGTGGGTTTTGGTATGCTCAGAGTGTTGCCATCATCACTACACCCTACTTTTAAGACATTTCTCTTACCCCAGTTAGTATTTACCTCCCATTTCCCCCATTCCCAGTCCCAGACATCCACAAATTTCCTTTTCCACTCTGATTTAACAAACCTTGGCATTCCCTGTAAGTGCAGCCAATGTAATTCATGACTTGTACTTGGCATCATGTTTTTAAATGAACTCTCAGTGCCATGAGCATTGATACTTGCTTTTCATTGTTGAGTGATCCTAAATTGTACAGACATGGCATGTGCTTTTATCTGTCCCTCTGCCCATCGAAGAGTTTGGGGCTCTGACTAACAAGAATAATTCAGCTGTGAACACATGTGCACACACTTTTGTGGGGACACATGCCTCCTTTGCTCTTGTGTGAGATTGGTAACTCCTAGGGAAGGCCTGTGCTTAACATTGTGAGCATCTAAACTGATTTAAAAATTCATTTACAAAGTGGCTGCACAATGCTCTGTTAGTCACTTGCCACGAACATATGAGGGTTCTAATTTCATTTCCATTTTCTGTAGCTGCATGTGCAGCTCCCAGGACCTGGGGTTCTGTGCACACCTTGAGAGCACTCTGTCAGGACCTGGGGTTCTGTGCACACCTTGAGAGCATCCTGTCAGGACCTGGGGTTCTGTGCATACCTTGAGAACACCCTGTCAGGACCTGGGGTTCTGTGCACACCTTGAGAGCACCCTGTCAGGACCTGGGGTTCTGTGCACACCTTGAGAGCATCCTGTCTGGACCTGGGGTTCTATGCACACCTTGAGAGTCATTGAACTCCAGGCACAGATCCAGGACACCTGTTTATCTGGTGACTTAAAAGTGGTGTTGGGCATTTGGAGATCTGAGTTTCTTATGTTCATACTTTTAGTCACTTCTTTGTGGCTCTATATCTGCTTACCATTGGGGGTTGTTTAGAGAATGCCCAGTTGTTATTTTATGGGACTGGAATGAGATTAGGGATATGAAAATGCACTACAAACTTAAATGTGATTCATATACATTAATGGACAATATGACATTATTGGGATCCCTTTATATTAGAGCAATAGTTTAATTATTTTCAAGATTTAATTTTTAACCCAAAACCTCAAAATATATGCCTCTGTATTCACTCCACTACATTTTGTCCAATCAATATATCTACTGACTACTCAAGTCAACCAAAATTGGCAACCAAAGTAGATTCAGAAAGATAAAAATGTGAGAAGACTCCAGAACATTGAATATCACATGGCTAGGCGCTTCACACGTGGAAATCCATGTCTTTAAGACATGGATCACACAGGCCTGTGAAGTGTATGGAATGAGCACACTGTCCCTGGAGAAGGTGGAAGAGGAAGAGCAAGGACCAAGCAAAGAAGGGCAGAGTGAAAGGGCAGAGTCAGACGCCCAGGCAAGGCAAAGGCTTGCTAAAGAGGGATGCCTGTGTTACACTTCCGCCCGAGGGAGTGTTTTCAACCCCACCCCTACCTCAACCCCCCAGCATGCTTCAGGACCTCTGTGCATTCTCCTCATCCTTAATTACTTCCATGTAAAGCAATTACAAAAACAAAGGTTGTTTTGTCGGACTCTGATACAGCTTGAATCTCTATTCAATATAGCGATAATCCACCCACCAAACTCCAAGATCCATTTTCCCCTATGGGGATTATTGTAGTTTGTAGTGATAACAGTCGGACATTCCCTAGCTGGTTGTGTCTTAAACAAAATGTGTATGGGGGAATCCTACTGCTATTACCAGTATTTTGAAAAGCAGTCTCTCAATGGGAGCGCATTTAAGTTGGGTTTAATAATATACTCTGGCTGGATTCTGCAAACATGTCCTCGCACAGCCAACTTAGAAACCACACAACACTCAAAGCCAAGGCAAGCCCACTGGTTGTGCTCATCTTGTGTCTTGCTCATCTGGGTTCGCCAACAGTGGAAATCCTGCCAAGAACAGCTGTAAGGACACGTTCTTACTAATAGCCCCAGCCATCTCTGTTTTGTGATCTTTCTGACAAGCCTAGATCACTCACCTTCTAGCCAGTGATGGAAGTGGAGATGTGCTCTGCCTGGGGTTCTAGGCCTTGTCAGTAAAGCTTTCCTGCCACTGGCTCCCTTGCTAGGTCCCTGGAGCAGCTGTTCCCTTCCATAAGCCTACCAGCTACCAAAGCTTGCTCCCTCAGGACCCTCAAGGGAGGTGCAGTCAAGGCTGCATATTTCTCAAAAGATCCCAGGCTCCACTTTGACTCCCACACATGAAGAAGTTGTCATCTTCAAATATTCCATGTGTTCTCATAAAATTCCTCCTGGAACCACAACAGCAGTTAGAAACATGTTGGTGCCGGGCTGGGGTGGTATGTGCCTTTAATCCCAGCCACTCGGGAGGCAGAGCCAGGCAGATCTCTGTGAGTTCGAGGCCAGCCTTGTCTACAGAGTGAGACCCAGGATAGGCACCAAAACAACACACAGAAACCCTGTCTCGAAAAACCAAAAAAAGGAAACACATTGGCTTCATTTGGTTTTGTCTCTCGTTGTCCTCTGGCCCCAGTTAGGCTGTGAGAATCACAAGACTGTTGTGCTTTGAGTAGAAGAAACTGGAGATTTCTCCAGGACTCCAGCTCTAACTCACCTGCCAGCTGCACCCTGGAGCTCTTGTACACCGTATCCTCTAATTTGTGTCTGACCAAAGAACTCACTCTCTCCTCTTCTATGGCCACCAAAGCACACTCCTTGTTCCCTAACCCACTAGCTAAGCATCAGTCAGTCCCTCATATAACGTAGTGAAAAGGGATAAGGGCTGAGGACATGGTGACCACGCACACAGAAGGGCCTGAATTCCATCCTGGCACTGGTAGAAAGTAAGACAATTTTTCAAAAGCCTTTTCACTTTGCAGAGAGTCACCGTTGACAAATGGAGCATCACAAACCTCTACAATTCATCAGAGGAATATTAATTCAACTGCTGTTCCCTTCATTAGTGATGTTCCAAAGCCGGGAAGATTGATATGGCTGGCAAGGTTGTGGGAATTAAGACCATTTTTCTATGAACATTTTAATATAATGGAATGTAGAGCACAGAAAGTTGGGAGGGGGGAAAGGCTCCCGGTGGGGACAATGAATGTCTATATAATTTGACAGCAGCCTGTCTGCACATTTCATGATTTGTGTCTTTGTGTGTCTGTGCACGCAGTTGAGCAGACATGTAAAAAAAAGGAGACAGAAGTCAGAGGCACACCACGGTGTGTTATAAGAAACTCATATGAGAACTTGAAACTGTATTTAATATTAATACAAGGTTTGAATTGCTAGGAATGTACACCACTGCTTTGTCTGGGGTAGTTAGTTCCAATAACAAGCTGATAAACAGGAAGTATACATGGAAACACTTTAGCTCATTTTTATTTCAATAGGAAATAAAAAGAAGTACAGACAGATATAGCTTTCTCTCATCAGAGCTACATGATAACATACCCTATATATTTGACTTTTTAGATGTTTCTAAGTCTAACCGAGCATATTTTCCAATGATTAAAATGGCCATCTGGGAAATGAGCTTCCTTCTCAATACCAACAATGCGGAGGGAGGGAGGGACTGCTACTTCTAAGCAACTGGATGTATTGGCCCTGCTTTCCCATCTCCTATGGGCTGGTGTTTGGCCCCCAGGACCTGCTGCCTAGTCTCTAGACACAATGAATGCCTTGTCTGCCAGTGCCTCTTCCCATACAAAGCAACACAGCCAACACCTCCATCACCTGCCTGTGTGCTCTTCTCACTCCAGGCCGCCAGCCACCTGACCCTTCACCCTAAGGCCAGATACCACAGAACTCAGGAGAGCATGGAAGCCAGAGCCTGCTGGTTTATGCAGATAGTCCTACATCTGCCTCCCTGGTTCCTCCTCACAAAAACAATAAGGAAAGCTCTTGGCCTCATTTCCCTGTTTCCTCTACCTCCTGACTGGCTAGAGAGTCTCTGTGCAGCCACACACCATGGCATGACATGTTCCCTCTTGGAAGCTCTAAGTCAGGAACTCTCTTCGCAGTGGTCCTCTCTCCTAGCTGTTAGCATCACCTCACGTGATGAATATAACAAAAGTCTCTACTGGGATATAGTTGGGACATTCTCAAGAACAGTCTATGCTGCCACTTAGGAGGGTACAACACACTTTTGAGCATCTCTAAGGGCAAGCACACCTCTGTGGTTAAAGGTGTCTAGAATGTATTGAGGTGGGTACAGTGATTAGCTTCTTAGGGGAAGGAAGACACCATCCTCCAGTACTGCAGAGGGAGAATGGCTCACCTTCCTCGCTTGGCACACACATCCCTGAAACATGAGGAACACTATGGACTACCCTGGAACTGAAAACTCTCTGATGTTTCTGGAAAGGATGGGCTATTTCTGAAATGTGCCCTTTGGGAGCTTCCTAGTGCCCCATGATACTAAAGCTTGGTGCTCTGTCTAACTTTCCCTCCATTTGGTAAGAGGTTTTGCATTAGAATCTTTGAGGCTAGTGAAGGGGTGAAGGTTGGAGACTTTTCCCCTCCCAGGATTTTTCTGCACAGTCTGTCTCAACCTGAGCTTGGTCCCCTGGTCATTTTCGGATCACTGGACAGACACTGCTAGAGAACATTTAACTGGATAAGGTCCCATGTCAGGGTTAAAAAGATAAAGGAAACAAGCTTCAACCAGGCAGTGGTGGTACACAACTTTAATCCCAACACTTGGAAGGCAAAGGCAGGCAGATTTCTGTGAGTTCAAGGCTAGCCTGGTCTACAAAGTGAGTTCCAGAACAGCCAGGACTGTTACACAGAGAAACCCTGTCTTAAATAAGTAAGTAAGTAAGTAAGTAAGCAAGTAAGTGAATAGAAGGAAAGAAAGAAAGAAAGAAA